TGATCATATGAGGGTGCAGCACTGGCCAGAGTCACAGGCGGGTCCAGGACGGCTTTCCTGGGGAAGGGTGGACGAGCGGGGGGAGTAGGCTCCTGGGTGGAGGTACGGGGGATGCGGAAGAGAGTTTTCTTTAGTTTCAGCTTTAGATCCTGACTTTTGTAGTACTGATGCCTGTGCCTCTGGGGGAGGGGGCAAAGACCCATCCCCCCCCCCTCTCTCTCGGATCCGCCTATTGTCAGAACAATTGCAAAATTCGTCAGCTATGTAGCTAGAAAGCGACTTTACTAATGGCAACTGATCAATATCAAAGCATTTAATTTTGAATGTTTTCTGCGACAGCCAGTGGGTTTGATGAAACGGCATGTTACCCGTTTTGTTAGGCATCAGCCGACGATTCTAAGCCATCGAGTTGTTGGAAAAAACCGACACGTTACGACTTACTGTTTCAATCCAGTGGCAAACTGGTGCTAGCATATACCAAGCAAATAATCTTCATCTTAAGTAACTCTCGAAACAAGGAGCCATCGAAAGCCTTTTCTAAGGCTGGTTGCTGTTGGAACGTGCTACTTCTCAGGAGCTCTATCTTTCACAAAGGGGAAATCCGAAGACAGCACAAATTCTAATGCTTATCTGACAACGCCTGTTAAAACTCTTCCGAATTTTCATTGGATGTAACAATAAATTAAGCTTAAAACAGCTGTTACTTTGTAAGCAAACGCAGGTGGCTGATGCGGATAATTGGATGCCTGTAAAATACGATCAACCAATGCCTGGCAGAACTGCGATGGTAATGATAACTGATGATTGTCCGAAATGAACGACGGTGTCAGCAAAGCATATTTGCCATCCCTAAACAAAAATTATCTTTTCATATTTTTCGAAAGTGCCCTAATATCTTAATCTGAAAAGCTGCCTTTGAAAATTAATTCATTTCATTCAAAAATTGGATTTTATAAATCTTAATCTCAACTAAAATAAAATCTAAAACGAAATCTAATAAATCCGAATAAATAACAAAATAAATAAACAAACAAATAAACAAAGAAGTAAATAAATAAATTAATAAAAAAAATCTAAAAGTGTACGGTCAAACACTTTCCACTTCGAACTACCGATGCTTTCCACATTAATATTAGTAAAATTATGCCCTACTGGAACTTTGCCAACGAATAACGCTGAAAAAAAGCATTTGCACTTACCTATCCTCGAGTTGTCCGCAAATTTCGAGTACGAACTGTCTGGCACGAGCTGTGTGAGATATGGTCTTATCCAGACAATACAATACGCTGTACATGAAAGCTGCCGGCTGAGCTGAAAATACATTTGTTGCAGCTTTCGCCAGATATAGCAGGGCTCTTGACTTTTGAGGTTATGCGGACAGGGAGGGCGGTGGAGGGGAGGAGAGGGATGCGTGAAACAAAAATTTTTGTACTGGTAAAAGGGAAAAAGTCATAGGGGCAAAACAAATTTTTTTCATGTATTTTAAATCTGCACTACCCGTAAATCTTTATTTTAAATTTCTGATTACAGTCCCCTAACAATAACGCATTTTAGCGCAACTATGAAAAGAAACAGTTACGGTGATAACGGTAGCATGGCTTGAAACACATCATCAATGTCGAGAACAGCTGGTCAGCAACAAGCGTCTCCATCGCTCTTATCAGTATAATGTCCACCGCCTACAATTACCACTGTTCACTAAATCTGCGAAAATATAAATCTACAAAAAAACTGGTGGATGAAATCTTCACTTGCCTCCCTTTAAAAACTGCCAATTTTTTTTTTAAAACAGCCATTAGCTTGCTTCTAAACAACCTTCGAAAGAAGAACTCATCGACAGCCATGCTAGCGAATAGTTGCTTTAGCAGCTGTTACTTTCTCAGGACAATTCTGCACGCTTTTACCTCTCACTGGGACCAAAAAGAGGGGGATTTCGACTTTCCGAGTTTCAAAAAAAAAAAAAAAATGTTTGGAAGTACCGGAAGTATTCTTTCGGCGATGTTCCCGTAATAGATGGGCATATGCAATTCGGGGCTAATAGAGGGTTGTTCCATTGGCCGCATTCCCATTTCCATTTGCATTTCCCTCCTTATTTTCACCTCCACTTCTCGAGGTGTTAATTCCGGAAATTGCTAGAAAACATCGATTAATGGATTTGTTCTGTTTCGGATTAGTTTATCGCTTCGCAATAATGCTTTAAAAAGTTCTTATTCCGCTGTTGTAATCCTCATTTTTGACATTGATGAGTATGACAAAATTTCGATTTTCTTCTATTTTGAGCTTAGGCGTATCCGCGCTACTCTACAATTTTGAGTCTTCGATGGGTTGCAATTCCTGAATTTGGCTTCTAGCTAAAAAGTTAGGTGAATATGCAACTTGTTTTAACCAAAACAACATCATCCAGCGCTCAGAATGCTACCGACCCGCATGCCAGTGCTGGAAGGGATTAGTAACTCAACAACTCACGACGCTTCTCAGAAAAGTACTCGATAAAGCTTTAGCAATTTCGAGATGGTGTACTGAACATCACTACTTCCAGTACGGTGATAAGCAAAACTACTTCGTTCCAAACGCCGAAAAGGCATCTAAAAGGAACAATAAACAGAATTTACTCAAAAATAAAAAGTTAAAAATATTTTCTGCTTCAAAAAAAGGCCACTTACAGAATAATATTCAGACATTTTATTGAAGAAAGAAGCACTTGTATTGACAATTTTGTTCGATGGTATAACGTGTGCCAGTGCAGCAATTCGATTATGCAAATCAGGATATGAGCCCAACTGAAACAGTATCAATTCAATTCTGTAAACCAGAGCAGCAAAAAACTATAGCTGAGGGAACTTATACCCAATAAATTTTTTAAAATTCTAAAACAAAATTTAGACGCAATTACTCGACAACGCTTTGAAAAATCCCAAAATGCACAAAAATCGGTAATTTTAGGCACGCAAATTGGACATCTA